TTTGTAGTGGACAAGAATCCCAGTCTACAAACTCAGGTTTGAAAGAAATATATCTTTCTTTAATTATTTCATAACTCAAATTTATTTTTCTTTCAACCACCTATTGAGCTATAATTTTAGAAAGTTTATCTCAATCAATTTGAAGATCCTGTTTTGTTAAAATTCCAGGTGGTGCTTTGTTGTATCAAGGCCTTAAACATGAGGTCTAAATCTTCTGACTGGCATGTATTCCCTGAGACCTCTCTTATTCCTACTGTCTTGACACTTTTGGTTCTAGATGGTCTCTCTGCTACTTCCATTCCAACATAGTAAGGCTGGAAGATGTTTCCCTGAGCCATGGAGTCTTTTCCATGAGACTACTATGCCCTTTTCTGTCTAGCCAGTCATACTCAGTGACCTCAAACCAGGAAGGGACACACAGATACCCTCAGTTCTTGAATATCCAACTTTTGGAATTGGTATGGGAGTTAAGAGGCCAGTCATTCCTCTCCTGGACCCACTGAAGCATCTGTGGCTCAGCCAAAAATCTTTTCTTTTCCTTTTGACAGGTGGAGAGGTACTGAATGGAAGAAAGGAAGAATTTCCTTTCTCAGAGATATTTTCTAAAATATACTTTCTATATTGCACTTATTTTAGTTCAGTTAAGGATTTTGGAAAATAAGAAGCACAGACTTGTCCACCTGTCCTCTCCCATCCTTTCCCCTCCTGTCCTCTCATCTCCCTTCCCCTCTTTCTTTCTTTCTTGCTATTCTACCTCGTCACATCCCTCCTGGGATCAATGCTTCATATCTATCAATCTAATCTATCAAGTATTCCCACTGCTGAGCACAACCACCATTCTAGAATGTTGACATGCTTAGCCTGAAGAGGGGAATCAAACCTCTGTGCCAACTGCTATGCTGACCTGTGCCTTCTATCATTAAGTACTGGCAGATTATCAGTCTGAAAGCCTGACTGGCACGATAGTCATTTATAAGCACTGTGTATATAGAGAATGTTTATAGCTGGTGGTATAGTTGGAATTATTTGTATATAATTTGAGCCATGTTTTTGTGATAACTATGAAATATGTTTTAAAATTCCATGATTATGTAACATAAATGCTCCACTTAATTTGAGATATTTCCTTTGTTTACTCTTTACCTTTTTTTCACTTTGGTTTGATGAACATCCCAAATAAAAATTACAAATTTTCCTACTCGGTATTTCTTTTGTTCCATTGCTGCAATCATGTTTAAATGTCTTTATTACTTAAAAATGAGTTTAAAGTAATAATCTGTCTTACATGTTACTGTGAAGAATGAATGGATATCTAGATCCTGTAATGTTTTTTTTGTTTTGTTTTGTTTTTTTTGTCTTTTGTCTTTTTTCCGTGTCCGGCAACGGATTGCAACCCTCAGTGTTGCCCCCGTACCGGACCGGGACCGGCAACGGGATCGCAAGCCTCGGCGTTGCTCCCACGCCTCGCTCAGCCAGTGAGCGGGAGCCGGTCTGCACGTGGGATCCGAACCCTCGGACGGGAGCGCCGCCGCGCTTCCCAAGCGGCGCACTATCCAGTGCGCCACCGGGCCGGCCCATAGATCCTGTAATGTTTTAAGACAGTGAACTTTTGTCATAGCAACAAGGGAATGTATGCCTCTACTGCCTTCCATGTTTTTCCTTATATAGCAATGGAGTAATTCAACCAACACGTGCTATAGACATTTACTGAACTCTCAGCTTCATACATAACTTTAGTGCAATAAGTTTTATCTTTCTTCATGCCCTATATATATACATAGAAATGCAGAAGAGGAAGCTTATAATGGATGGACTCAGGATGGTTTGGAGAGTTTTAGGACACTGTGAAAAAATAGCATGAAATACAATAGTACCTTTGGCCCATGAGCTTTTAAAGGTCCCATGAAAATGTTGAATCTTAAAAAACAATAGTTTCAATTTATAAATAAAAAACATTGTAAAACAAAATTAATTAATATTTAATTATATTGGTTTAAAATATATAGTTGTATATATATATATGGGTGTATTTAAATGTTTTATATGAGATGGTACAAGATCTCCAAAACTCAAAATGTTTTTAAAATATCTCTACCATATGCAATCAGAATAATTTCATTTTCTAGCGACAACATATTTTATACTAGTCACTCATTTATTTATTTCCCATTTACTGAATCACCTTACTAATATTTATTAAGCACTCACTCTGTTCCAAGTGCTGGACCAGACTTTGAAGGTGGTAATAAAAATAATGACAGAAGAAAACCCTTAGTCAGTGCATATTTTGTACTAGGTACTATTGCAAGCACTTTACACATGTTAAATCATCTCAGTGCTATACAACAGTTACAGTTATTTTCCTCCCTTTCAACAATGGGAAACTGAGTCACTCAGAAGTGAACAAACTTACCCAAGTTTATACAGTTATTAAATGGCAGAGTTAAGATTTGAACGCAGGTGTCTTTCTATGGAATTTGTGCTTTTACCACTTAACTATAGTCCCATACTTCAGAGAATGCAATGATGACCCTTTACTCCTGTCTGAAGAACCTAGTCTCATCCTAATAACACACAATGTGATATGAGAGGGGAAATATGGGGGGCTATGGAACCTATCTGAAGGGAGTAACTAACTGAGAATGTTTTGCATTACTCTTTATATTTACTCCCAAATTAACAAATGATCCATGCAATATGAAGTATCTTCTTTAAAATATTTTTAATATTTGAAAACAAATTTTTATGTTTTTCCTATATTATTTTTTCTCTAAAACATGATTTACACTTAAGCTTAATGAATCCTAATGTCTTTCCTTCTTAAGCCTTATAGTTTTAAAAAGATAATATTTGTGAAATCAAAAGTAATGTACTAGAGCAAAAATTAAGACTTCACCTTTTTTTCTTTCTGAGATTTAAAGCTAGAAAAATTTGATATTAAAATATATACGAATACTACTAGAATATATATACTTATATATATTCTTAAGGTCTTGAAATTGTTAGCCATTTTGTAGTCTGCTTGGGCTTTCTCAAATGTCAGAGACAATCAGAGAAAATAAAAGCTATCTTCAATATGACTAACTTGGATAATGCTCTGTGTTTTCAACTAAGATTTGGAAAAGAGAACATTTTTGATAAGGTTGTGAAGATACTTCTGCAATGCACTGTACTTAAAACAGTGATCTTATTATATATGTATTACTTTTTAAGATTTGAAATTCTCATGAGCTTTTTTCCTTTAAATAATGTCTAATAGAAAACAACTCATCCTCTACAAGTCAATTTCAGTGGCAAGTATTCTTTGACTTAATGTCACCATTGTGTGTTTCCATAGTCCGAACATATGCCATTATGGCCTTTAGGCCTTAAGCCATATAATTTTATTAAAATGTAATATGAAACAATTTAAGCTTTTGTAAGATTATACTATTTACTTCAAGTTGGGGTATAGGGATTTTCTTTACCTCTTCATAATTATACATTAGTAGTTAATCATAATATGTATTTTCAGAATATTTAACTAGTAATATTTTCTATCATTGTAACAACATTAAGTAACTCTTAGAGATACTTTTTTTTCCTACAAAACTGCAGTGACTTTTGCATATTATTTTCACTATGTGCACTTCCCAGCATGGTTTTAATCATAAATCTCTGCAATTTAATGTCAATACCTCAAAAGGAGTAATATTACAACATTTTGAAAATATTCATATTATTTAAATGATGTTAGAAGAGTCAGCATGCAACAGTGATGTTTAAAATGTTCTCATACAGGCATTTCATGTCTTTCCCACAGAAACATAATATGGAATTATTTTCTTGTTCTCCTCTGGCCTTCTTTTTTTTTTTTTTTTTAAGTAAGGTAGACAATATTGAGCCCTACAAGGAGTCTAGCTTTTCTTCTGAGAAAAATACTTTCCAACTCTACGCTAAAGTTAATATCTAAAAACCTCATGCAGTACAATTGAACCATTTAATTTTTTCTAGTATGGATTGATTTCATACAACACAGTCTTAACTTTGACATACTTGTAAAATATTTGTGTGTGTGTGAACTCAAATGTCAGTATAACGCATTCCCCCTTTTTTTATTTAGGGATGTATTATTTAAGCTAGCACTGCAGTGTAAGCAAAAAAAAAAAAAACAAAAAAACCTTGCTATGCATGTATATAGTTTTTGTGCAGTTTTTATTTTGTGTTTGATGAAAAGGCTGTAACAGCATTTTTTATTGAATGGATATTTATCTTTGTATTTTTTAAGCTGAAATATTGCAAAGGACTTATTTTTACGGGAGGGTTATTATAAACCAAACATTAGAGTAATGGCAGGTGGGCTGTGTTTGCTCTCATGTGTTTGGTTCTTCCTAAGTTTTAAAGCAGTGTTTACGCGAACTCATTGCGTAGACCTTTATGATTGAAGAGGTTGCAGATGAAGTATTGGGACTGCATTAGAATTAGGCGATTTTGCTATTCCTTTCAAGAATAAAAATCAGGCTCACTGCATGGTAAAAGACTGGGATGGTCTATGCCTTCATGTCTTACTCGGTTGTGATCCAATTGCAAAAATTTATCATTTCACCTCAGGATGATCCCCAAATCAAACAATTAACCATCTTCACCATGAAAATGCAAAGGCTAAATAGCTGTAATATCTATACTGGGAACGAGAATAACAGAGGGTGATTGTCAGCATTAAAATAGAGAGGGATATCTTTAATTACTCCGGTTCCAATTTCAGAATAATCCAGGGAAACATAAATTGTAATTCTCCTTCCCATGTGTAAGATTCTTAATACAGTTCTACATGTTTATACCATTTAATTAAAATGCAAAACCATTAAATCTTGTTTAAAATTGAGTGATACAGTATGCTTTTGGCAAAAGAGAAAAATGTTTTATTTTAATTATTTGAACGAATGAATATAAATCATGTTGTTGAATTCTGGTTGTAGCGTATCTAAATAGGTGCATGTTCTTTTGTTTATTTCTTTTAGCATCTCCGTCAATTAAACTCTTGGTGGATGATCCTATAGTTGTAAATCCTGGAGAGGCCATAACATTAGTATGTGTTACAACAGGAGGAGAGCCCGTACCTTCTCTCACCTGGGTCAGGTCCTTTGGGACTCTGCCTGAAAAGACTGTTTTGAATGGAGGAACTTTGACTATACCTGCCATCACCTCAGATGATGCTGGTACTTACAGCTGCATTGCCAATAATAATGTGGGAAACCCTGCAAAAAAGTCCACCAACATCATAGTGAGAGGTAAGTTTGCCTAGATAATGTTACAATATAGATTTCTGGGTTAGGCAGGCTATCAAAAAGCAAATAATGTTTGATATAAAAGTATTTCCTCAAATATTGCATATATATGTAGCATACGAAGAAAAGTGTTTATACATAATGGGATGGTGTCTAATTATAAGTGGAAACTAAAAATCCTAAATCAATATTTGCATTGAATAGTTTTCATAATATATTCAGTGATATCATTGAATTTTTATATGTTCTTAGTAAAAAAAAATGATTTAAAAGAAAATGTTGCATAGAACATAAAACATTGTTGTACAGATTGTATATATTAGTTTAAGAATTTAGTAAATTTATCAATTTAATGTTTAATAACATTTATTGAATTCCTGTTACAAGAACTTTAAATTGTGAGATCTATAAAACAGTGCCTTGTACCCAAGGATTCTACTGTCAAATAGTGAAAATAAAATATATCGATTGTCATATGATATAGCATTTGATAAGCATAAACAAAAGGTGTAGAAATTTTTAAAAATTATAGTTACTTCTGACTGAGGTTACTAGAGAATGTCTAATGAGATTTGCACTAGGTTTATAGGTTGAGCAGGGTTTTGACAGACTGAAATTGGTGAAAGACGTAGAAAAGTCAAAGGTAGAAAAGGCAGTGCTTATCTGAGGAACTGAAGTAATATGTGGGTCACTAGGTCACAGTAGCAATAATGTTCAAGTGTTGCTGCTACCAGCTGGTATGCCAGTGCTACACATAGAGGAAATGTTTTCCTCTCATTTTTCAGGATGTAAAGGAGATGCCAGGAGGACGTGCAAAGAGACCATATGCTTCCTGATGTCTCAGTTCACACAGTGTGGTCCTGGGTTGGGGGTGGGGACCAGACAGCGGTGGTCCTGAAGTTAAAATAGACACCGATAAACCCATAAGGACACTTTGAACACACAAATAAAAATCACTCATGATGGTGTATTATGATGGAAGCAAAACATAACTGAGCATATCAATATTAACATTTGTGATTTTGTGAATATAGATTGTGATGCTTTTAGTGACCATGGTTATCTGCTATCATCCAAATTATTAGAAATATGCTACTTGGCAAAATATACTCTGCTCAAATTATTGCAAGGTATTATAGTGTAAAGACACAATGAATAGTGTACTATCTGCCACAAAATTGTAGGCTATTTAACATTTAATATCTGCAAGATATACCATTATTTTATGTATTACTACAAAATAAAACATACTGCCAATTACACTGCCACAATGTTTCTTTTGAGATAAACTGTTATTGAAAGAACTCTTCTAAATTTGTTTATGCATAAGTTTTCTTTTAAACCATATATTGCCCATAAGTATATGTAAAAAGGAAGATCAAAGCAAAATAATTTGATGAAATCATTCTTAAAAATTTACACTTAGAACCCAACTTCTAAATCACATTTTGTCCCAATTTTTGATGACCTTGGCTTTCTACAGTGTTGTCCTTTGTGTCATTAAGAGCATTTATAATTAAGAAGTATAGAGAAATATTTTCTCTGAGATTTTCTTCCAAGGCAAGTCATCACTTCTGTGCCTAGCTGATAGCAGCTGTGAGAGGCTATTGCATGTAAAATGCACTCTGATCTCAGAAATGTAAAAATCTGAAAATTAACAAGGATTTTAGCGTCAGTGAGATGTGATCTTTATTTCAATTGTTTAATAAACTTCTACTACACCACTACCACATACTAAGGACTCAGCAAATAGGAGGGATGCATGAAGGTCACTACCAAGATCAATGACTAAGTCCCTGTTCTAAAAGGAGTTTACAGTTCTGTAAGGAAGATAGAAATACAACAAAGATGATATATGGAAATAATTTAAAAGGTAAGATTCACAAACGGAGGTATTTTCAATATCAGTATTGATAAAATGAGACTCCTTCTGAGCCTTGTCTCAGTGAGCAACCAGATTCTGTTCTCTTTCTACCCCAAATTTAAAAAAGAAAAGAAACAGAAAAACTGCACAGTCACCAGTGTTTGTTTTATTTCTATATTTGGTCTGTTTGCTTTTTTAAAAATATTTAATTTCCCAGATAGCCATGAAATAATCTACCAAATCTTGCTAAAATGATTGTAATATTAGTTAAAGCATTGCAACATCTATCCTTAAATATCATGGGTGCAATGTAGAATCATTTATTTCATTATTTTGTCAAGGACAGGAACTCACTAGAGAAAAATGGTACAATAAATCTAGTTCTTACAATAGGATCATTTGCAACTACATTGAACCCATATATGACTGGCAAAATGTCCAGCATAAAATGTGTGTGTTGCTCAGGCACACTCTGTAAAGGACTAACTCAGTGCACATCAAATATATGATCAGAGAATAATTTGTTCCTCCCTATTCTACCTAGCAGTTTTCATCTGTCTTTAACAAAGGAAAGTTCCAACTCTGACACAAATGACCTGAAATAAATAAGGACCTAAAATTTTATTTATTCAATCTAGGATTTCTTTTTGTGCCTTAATTTGTCTGAAGTGTACATTTGCATAATCATATTATATTACCAGTGGGACTTCTCAGTAGTGGCATTCGCATAATTCATAGAATCGAGTTTGTATATAATCTTACTGAATATAGAAATAGCCTTGCAAAGAGTCCTAGATTAAACTGTGGGGAGAAAAACTACTACAGTAATATGAAGTATCTGATTTCTGTCCACAGAGACCAAGAAATTCAGTTAAGAAAAGTAGTTTTCTTTTTATTATACCAAATAAATTATTTTCAGGTCTTCTAAATTTATAGACTTTCTGCAGTGTGTGAGATTAACTATATCACGGATAAAGTGGAAATAGAGCTCTAGGTTTATCTCCCCCCATTCTTTTCTATAATTAAATCAAGATCCATAACCAGGTTTCTGAGCAAGCACAAGGACATTTTGTGTGTAGAATTCTCATTCCTATTTGAGGCTGTCCAGAATAAGAGTGCAGGGTGAAGATAGGAATAAAACTCTAGAAACATTTCTGAATTCTTTATTTGACTTGTTTAAAAAATAGAGAACACTATAAAGTAAATAGTATAGATTACACTCCATGTGCATAACAAACTCAAAACTGGATATGAATTTCACATAGTTTACTACTTCGGTAGAACATTTATAAATATAGCAGCAATGCTTTTTCTTAATGATCCTTTAAGAAATTGCAGTGATTGAGACTCACTGCTCAGTCAGGAGAGAAGCAGATGCCTAATACATCTGAAAAGAAAATTATGTTCATGTCTTACTCATATGTTGGGTGGCCTGAGCTCAGTGCTTTCCAAACTCCTGTTAGATGACATGTCATTCCCATTTAAAGTTCTCTGTTGTGATCTTCTGTATTTAGAAATGCCCACATTTCTGTTCTGTCATGAACTAAAGCACTGGGTTGAACAAGCATGGCTCATAGGATGATCAAGACATTAGTGTAATTTGGTGTCCTGTGGCTTCTTTGAATGTCATACAGTACATTTAAGTCACAAACACTCATTTAGTTTAGTGTTTTGGATGCATGATCCAAAATAACAATAGAAACTCTAAGCCTTATTTAATGCAAAAATTTCTCACCTCCCCAGCTCGGGTCCACTTTGGGCTGGAGACCTGCACTGAGAAAAGACGATGTGGTATGGTTGGCTTCTTCCTCTTCCTTGGTCAATTCTCCACTCTTTCTACCCACCCACCCCTGTCCTGATAGCCAGGTTCTGACCACCCTAGCTTGAGTGGGATATGGAGGTCTCTATATAAAGCATTCATTTTTCTTATATGGCACATTAATGGACTCTGAGGAGGTTCCTCTGTCTAGAAGATGTGTACATCTGTGTAGATCAAGAAGAGGTATCTAGTGATGGGTCTCCCAGAAGTCCATTAATGTGCCACATTCCTTGAGCATCTTGTGCTGCACCCCCACCCCCTTTCTGCTGAGAGTCTCTCTTTCTCCTCCAGACAGCCAACTAAACAGAGCCCAAGATAAGCTCATGCTCCTTCTCTGAAGAACTCACATTTGTCTGATGCAAATGCTTGCCAGTAAACTGAGAGCACACAAGTTTCCGTGTACTGCCTCTATCCTATTGTCACGCAGATTTTAGTTTCTTCAGCTATGTGTCAAGCACCATTTCAAGAGAAATATTTCAAAGCTTTGATATGTGCCATAGAAAGATCCTCAATAGGACTGAGATGAAATAGACAGATTCTCTTTTCTCCACGTCGGGTCTCGGAAGAAGCTACATCTCACAATTTTCTCCAAAGATATCCTTCTAATCAAATTTGCTCTCTGATTCTTCTACTATCCTTAATTGTCTATAAAGTCTAAGAATCACGGAATGGGGTTTCTTTCATTTCCTTTGAGAATTCTGCATAAGAAAGAGGTCTGTTTTGCACTCCCTGTGGAATAATTCTGTGGATTCTATTCTCAGTCAAAAGTGAGTCAGGAAGAGTCTATTCTATCATTTAGTTCCACAAAAATATAGGGGATTAGTGGAATTTTCAAATTTTCTAGCTGACGTTCTTGAATATGATCTTTTGGCAAATCCTTCTGGCTCTGTGTTCATAAAATACTTTGAATCTGACCATGTCTTTCCACATTCACTGGTACCACCCTTGTCTAAACCATCAATATATCTCCTCTGGTTGATTAAAATAGTATTTTTATTGATATTCTTTCCACTCCAGCCCTCTTTTAGACATTCATTCACTGTATTAGAAAAGGTGCTAGGCTGTGCCAATAGACCCATGCGTGTAATTACTCAAAAAAAAGAACTTACAGAATTTGTTAATGAAAGAGTAGAGACCATGTCCTAGTTGGCACTGCTTTGGTGTACATGTGTGTGGCGTCTGCTCTATGCAGTCACTCAGGCATCTAGGCTGCTCATTTCTCTTTCATCTTAAATTTATGGCTACTAAGGTTGCTCTGAGTGTTGCCCCTATCCCTGTCAGCTGAAAGGGGAAGAAGCTTGAATGAGCACACATGGGATA